GTCTCAAAAAAAAAAAAAAAAAAAAAAAGTTCTTTACGTGTTAAAAATATGGTGAAATAATTGGACAGAAAATAAATATTTAGGTCAATTTGATATTGGACAGACAGCTCACAGCTAGAGAAGTATTGAAAAAAACGCATATAGAGTGGCACCTATAGCTCAGTCAGTAAGGCGCTGGCCCCATATACCAAGTGTGACAGTTTGAACATGGTCCGGGCCAAACTGCAACAAAAAAAAGCCAGGCATTTTGTTGGGCGCCTATAGTCCCAGCTACTTGGGATGCTGAGGCAAGAGAATAGCCTAAGCCCAAGAGCTGGAGGTTGCTGTGAGCTGTGATGCCACAGCTCTCTACTAGGGCGACAAAGTGAGACTGTCTCTTAAAAAAAGAAGAGAAACGCGTATTAGGGTACAAGGTAGGAATAGGCAGTTTAAGTGGGAAGTAGAGGTCCTTAAAGCCAAGCTGAGCTGTGGCTTACCCCACAGGTACGTGAAGAGGGGACTACAGCGTGTGGGGCTAGACCCCCATCTACCGCTGAATCTGGCTGCCCTTCAGGCCCACCAGGCCCAAGAGAACCGTGTGGTGGCCTACTTCAGCCTGGCCCTGCTGCTGGCCCCACTGGTGGAGACGCTGATTCTACTAGACCGGCTGCTCTACCTTCAGGAGCAGGGTAAGGATGACTTACAGCAGAGACACGACCAGCGAAGCTCCTCCAAGCCCTAGCCCCTCTAAGCCTAGGGCTCTTCCAAGCTCCCACACCTGCTGAGCCAGGTTTATCACTGTTGTGATTTTTGGACTCCTGCTTTGGAATCACCAGTGGGGTGGGAATAAGTAATTTGTTAAAAAGTACGGATTCTTGGTTTTTATTTTGAGCAGAGTCTCATTCCCATGCTAACACAGGTACACTGCTATGGTGTCATAGCCCACAGCAACCTCAAACTCTTGGGTGATCCTCCTGTCTCAGCCTCCCAAGTAGCAGAGACTATAGGTGCCCACCACAATGCCCAGATAGTTTTTCTATTTTTAGTAGAGATGGGGTCTTGGTTTTGCTCAGGCTGATCTGGAACTCCTGAGCTCAAGCAGTCCATCTGCCTTGACTCCCAGAGTGCTAGGATTACAGGCGTGAACCCCCATGCCTGGCCAAAAAGTACAGATTCTTACATCAGCCTCTGGTGGTAGTTCCCTGCGGTGTATTTTATGCATGCTTCCCAGGCACCATGACTGCTTCCCAAATCAGTCCCATGTTGTCCTCAGGGAGAGTAGGATCTCCATGATCTCCTTAGATCCTCCCTCATGGAGAAAAGGGGATATACCTACAGGGTAAGCAGGATGCAGCTCAGTGAGCGTTTGATTCATTTCTCCTCCTCCTGATTAGCCTTGCCTTTCTCCTAGGCTTCCATGCTGAGCTCCTGCCCATCTTTAGCCCTGAACTGTCTCCTAGAAACTTGGTTCTGGTGGCCACCAAGATGCCCCTGGGTCAGGCCTTCTCTGTTCTGGAGACTGAAGACAGCTGACACAGCCTGAGTAAGGGCCCATCTCAGACTCCATATGAAACCATCCAAATGCAGTACTGCAGCAGAGTACACCTAGCCGAGAACCAGCATCATGCATCCCTGAGTCCTGGTTCCCCACAAACCTTCAGTTTCATACCCTTTCTCTCCTTCCATATGTTATATAATATTGTGTAAAGTTTTAATTTATTAAATCTTTATTTCCCTTCCATTTCTATGAAGAGAGAAAAGGAAGACTATACCTTCCCTCTGGTGCTATTTACCTTCAGTCACACTCTGGCCCACACTGCCATCCCCAACAGGTAGCCTAGCTGGCAGCTTCTGTTACTCAGAGGTCTTCATGGAGGGAAGCTCTCTCTCTTCCTTTGGCCTGCATCCCACATTTGCAGGCCCTGAGGGCAACCTTAAGGCTAGCTAACTTCCATCCCGATTCTATCATAATGTCAGTAAAGATGCTCCATCTACTTAGTCCCTAAAATAGGTATATTGGGGTTGGGGTGCCATTCTACTAGAGATAGCAGCTGCACACAGGAGGATTCATGGGTCTTTATTGGCATCCAAAGAGGCTGCCCTGCCTTCAAGGCTAAGACAAGTGGGAGAGAAGCTGTTCTCCCCAGGCTCAATACCAATAGACTTTCTTGTATCTCCGGGTTTCCTGGATCCCCATAGCCTCCATCACCTCTTCCTGCAGTGTCTTTAGACGAGGCACATAGGTTTTTTCTAGAGCATCTTCTACTGATGTATCTTTGGGGCCATCTGTTGAGCCAAAAGAAAGGAGATGGGTGGGAGCCTTATCAATTTGTCTTAACATCCCTTCCTTTCCTACTGCCCATCCACCCCCACCTTCCTGCCCAGCCTCACCAATCCAGGTTTCAGGGACGATGCCATCAGATCTGGGAAAATCAGGTTTGGGGATAATTCTCCCTGATCTCGTGGAAACTCGTACCCGCTCTCCTGCCTCAGTAAATCTCCACTCAATCTCAGTGGGTTTCCTGGTGGATAGAAAGGTGAGCGTGGTCTGGGAGCCAGGAACCCTGCCACCCTCCAACCCAAAAGTATAATCAATGGTTGAAAACACCAAGGTTAACACTTTGTCTACTTTGTACTGGGGGTACCCACAGGGAGTCATGCCTCTGAGATAGCCCGTCAATTTCCAGAGCATCCAACCCACCATTCTCATTGGACGATACCTTCATGGACTCAAGAGGGTGAGAGACTCTCTGACCCATGTGCTTGCCTGTCCACAGGATCCACAAGTTTGACTTGGTGGTGGAGCAAGGGGGCTTCACTAGGAATCATGGTTCCCCTGTAATCCTTAGTCCTGCCAATGTAGCGGTAATGCTGTCCAAGAGAGGGAGGTTATCAGAAAGCAGGGGTATGTGACGGGGATTTGCCCATGCTTCCCAAGTTGAAAAGTAACAAGGTTCAGTACTACCACTGGTCCCTCAGCCATTCTCCTCAGTACTGCCACCCAGTACTGCTTTTAATGGAAAGGGACAGGTGGGATAGGCTTCCTGAGCATGCGCATCCTCTCCACTTACTGTGTTCAGCCCTTCCAGAACCACCCAGTTTCGCTGCCGGATAACTTGAACCACTTTGCCCTGCTTCCCAGCATCCTTGCCTTCTAGAATCTCCACCTATGGGAAGACATGAGGGTTAGGAAGGGGGCATTTTTGCCCAGGACCTCCTCATCACTCTACCCTAAGGCTCTCACCATGTCCCCACAGAACAGATGCCAGTCTTCATCAGAGATGGGTTCCACAGCCACTGGGCGCCGTCTGGTCCCTGGGGGGTTCTTCCTTTTGTCTGCCAGGGAGCCTGGGCGGCTCATTCCATAGCGGTAATTGGGGGGCAGAGTAACCTTGGATGCCAAGGCTAGCAAGGCAGAGAGACGCATGGCTGAAGGCTGTGAGAAATCCCTTTGCCAGTGAAAGGCTTAGAAACCTTTTCAGCTTTGAGGGGTAGACAGGACAAAGAAGCAAGGAAAAAAAAACATTTTTTAAAGCATTTATTCTGGCTCGGCACCTATAGCTCAAACGGCTAAGGCACCAGCCACGTACACCTAAGGTGGCGGGTTCGAATCCCCAGCCCGGACCTGCCAAACAACAATGACGGCTGCAACCAAAAAACAGTCGGGCGTTGTGGCGGGC